ATTTTTCTTCAACAATTCCTTCATCACCTTAAAGAAAATTGGGCGAATACATCTTATACTACTGAATAACTGGTAGTCACGAAAACAATACTTAATTCGAAAAAATATATAATCTTCGACTTCATATATAATAAAAATTAGGCTCATGCTAATTATGATGGAAAGTGATGAAAAAATTCTTGATGGTTTGAAGAGAAAAATAAAAACGAGATGAAGTATGATGTCAATGCAATGCTATGTGACGTCAGCTCAACTCATACGATTGTGGGAAAATTCTTCTTCTACCATTCCTTCATGACCTTAAACGAAATTGGGCGAATACATCTCATACTACTGATTAACTGTTAGTCACGAAAACAATACTTAATTCGAAAAATATATAATCGTGAACTTAATATCTAATAAAAATTAGGCTCATGCAAATTATGATGCAAAGTGATAAATAAATTCTTGATGGCTTGAAGAGAAAAATTAAAACGAGTTGAAGTATGATGTCAATGCAATACTATGTGACGACAGCTCAACTCATACGATTGTGTGAAAATTCTTCTTTTACCATTCCTTCATCACCTTAAACAAAATTGGGCGAATACATCTCATACTACTGATTTACATGTAGTCACGACAACAATACTTAATTCGAAAAAATATATAATCTCGGACTTCATATATAATAAAAATTAGGCTCATGCTAATTATGATGCAAAGTGATAAAAAAATTCTTGATGGCTTGAAGACAAAAATAAAAACGAGATGAAGTATGATGTCAATGCAATGCTATGTGACGACAGCTCAACTCATACGATTGTGGGAAAATTCTTCTTCTACCAGTGCTTCATGACCTTAAACAAAATTGGGCGAATACATCTCATACTACTGATTAAATGGTAGTCACGAAAATAATAGTTAATTCGAAAAATATATAATATTGGACTTCATATCTAATAAAAATTAGGGCTTATGCTAATTATGATGCGAAGTGATAAAAAAATAATTTATGGCTTGAAGAGAAAAATTAAAACGAGATGAAGTATGATGTCAATGCAATGCTATGTGACGTCAGCTTAACTCATACGATTGTGGGAAAATTCTTCTTCTACCAGTGCTTCATGACCTTAAACAAAATTGGGCGAATACATCTCATACTACTGATTAACTGGTAGTCACGAAAACAATAATTAATTCGCAAAAAAAATGTCACTGACCGAATTCACATCGCAAGCCGAGAAGCGGAGCTTTCGACTCGGACCTGGACAGGATTGTCCCGGCTCGTTGATCTTGCACGTTCGCCGACGTTCTTGGTAGGGCGTCGAGTAGCAGGCTTCGCCAAGACTGGGCCAATGACAGTCGGACCACTCCATCCAAGTCGACCAGATCGGCTCTGGTGGGGAAATTTCACACTTTCGGCCCGTATAGCCTGGCGGACAGATGCAGGTGAACAAACTTGGATCCACCTTGTTCTGGATACACTGTCCGTTCTGCTGGCAAGGATTGCCCAAGAATCCGACTCGTCCTTCTGTCTCGTCATCGGCACTTTTGTTGTGACCCGCCGGTACGTCGCCACAGGCCGGAATAGGCACGCACGACGGATCCACAATGCTCCTTCTGCGGTGTGTAGTCGGGGTGCACTCACAGCTTGAGTAAAGAATGAAAATGACAAAAAAAACCGCACTAGGCCTATTGATAGACTGAAAAATAATCAAAATGTTTACACACTTTCCGATGAAATGTGTACAGAAAAGTTGTGTTTCAAGGACAATTGTTGAGCTTACTTCTATTTCGAATGAAAGCGCCGCTGGATTCCACCAGAAGATGACAAAAGATTCCATTTTGCCAGCTGCCATTTGACTTTACTATAATCGTCTTGTTAACGCTATTTCCGAGGTGATATGGTCAGATTCCGGTAAAAATGCAAAAGTTTATTTCTCAATATTGTGTATTTTTGCACAACGATATGAGTAAGCTGTACTTTTTCATTAAATTTTACATAGTCTTATTTCCCAAAAGGTATTCTCATCCCGACTAAAGTGGACGGCAGTCTCGAAATCAGACAATTTAACTGCCAGTCCTTCATCACCCTGAACAATAAAGGGTCTAGTCAATTAGAATAAGACTAAGCAATGTACAATGTATTCACCCAATTACGTTCAAAATGGTTAATGAATGGTGATTGAATGATAAACACAACAATATGAGTAGGCCTAACATAAACATCGGATGTCCAATAACCTTGCTTCCTAAACAGTTTTCCCATTTAAAGTGGACTGGACTGTGGTTTCGACTTCGCCTGAGCTGGTCTCATCAGCATCCCCGGTGGGACTCGAACCCTAGCGTATAATCTGTGCAATTTGACCGCTACGTCAGACTGCCGCAAGACTTTTTGGGCTACTGGACGTATATACATCTCCCATATCTGTGGTGGGATTGCCGATAAAGCAAAATTGTATTTGTTCTAGCAAGCGAGCACGCTACTTATTATTAATTTATAAGTAGGTTGTCGGGACTGCTGATAATCTCGAAAATAAGTAATATAGTCGATCGCTATTGTAAAATCAACTTTAAAATGTATTCACCTGATTTCGTGTAAGGCGATGAAGGACTGATAGAAGAATAATTTTTCCACAATCATATGTGACGAGTTAATGTTTACATTCAATTTCACATATGATTGTGGGAAA